AAAATACAGGTCCTTCCTTTGCCCTCTTAAAAATGTCATGTATAAATCCTGTTGATTTGGTACTTCTGGAGGCCAGACTTTGGCTCTTCGATTTTTATATCCCAGTGAAGAACAGTCTTTGCAGTTGAGTTTTTCCTCTTTAGTGAGGAAAACTTTTTATATATAAAAAACTTTTGTATATCTTTCTATTTATGGTATATGTATAAATATAATGTATTATTCCTGAAGCCTTAGTTTACCCATAGTAGGTAGCACCTGCTGGGGTAACTGAAGATTTTTACAATGTAGCTTTAGAAGTACTTATTCTGGGGAAGAAAATATCTCACATAACAGTACAGACAGGGTACATTAGTTAGGTATTTAGTTCTTCCCCTAGTAAGAAATTCTTTACTGTTTTTCACTGAATCAGATCACAATGTCTTCCAAATTAGTAGAAAGGCTCTCCCTTGCCTTCAGTAGGCTTTGGATTAAACCTGTTGTCCCAGACCCTCAGCAGTGTTAAGCATCAAATTCCAAAGGAAATCAATCGGAGGTAGACACCCAAATCCTTGTGAACATCCAGTCCACAGCCATCACTATTCAGTAATAATTCTTTTCTGGATCTTCAGAAGTAAGGACTTCATCTTACAAGCAGTTTCTCTCTCTCTACATATTTCTTGTTTTCACGTACTGTCCCATTGAAAGACTAAGCCTTCCAGAGCCAACTTGTGACTTGTTCTTTAAAAATTCCTTGATGTATAAATATTTTAGTCTGATGACTATAACATGATCCAGTATTACCCTGGCTGCATTTGAACTTGGCAGCTAGAATATCTTACAGAACCCACGGATATTTGATTTTCTAAAATTCAGCACCCTGACACTGAGTCTGCTGCACAGCTCTGCATACCTTTAGTGCTTCTTCAGTTGACTTTGAGCCTGAACAGGATGATGACACACCCTTCCAGCAGGAAGCACTCTGTGCTAGAGACATCCTTTGCCCTTCTTTGTTCTCTGGAAGGATCTGAAAGTTTTCTAGTGTAGTAGGCCTCGGTATTGTCAGCACTGGGCTGGCTGGCTGCCTGCTGATTTGTCCATGGCTTTAAGGCAGACATTGGGGTTTACCTGCTTTCAGCAAGAGTAGCAGTGCTTTGTTTTTAAGTACAAACATTCATACATAGAAAAATTGTCTCTGTTTTTACAGCGATGCACGCCATGTTGATTGGGTGAAGTCATACCTGAACATCTGGTCTGAGCTTCAAGCTTATATCAAAGAGCATCATACCACAGGTCTCACCTGGAGTAAAACTGTAAGTACTCTTTCCTTCTTCATGAAGAACCATAAAATGCCAGTAGCCAATCTGACTTTTAATGCAGGTCATTAGCTTAGGAAAAATAAATATCTAGGCCAGGAACACAAGTCATGGTCCATGGACTTCCCAACCAAGCTGATAAAAGTCTGAAAGGCAGGTGGAGAAGATGTGTCATGCCATTGTGGTACAGGTTTTGAGGAAGACAGAAGAACTATTTGGGATGATTATAGCCATTACTGGCAGTTGCAGATGGTGAGGAGAGGCAGACACAATTCTCCAAGCCTGCTGCAGTAGAAGGTAGGAACAAAAACAAACCCCAAAAATTTAAAGGACATGTCAGACTAAAGGAAAATTGGGGGAACATGATGGGGAAAGAGAAGAATGGTGGAAAGAATCTGAACAAAGAGAGATATTTAATAACAGAAAAAAGAAACATGGAATACGTACCAATTTATTACTTCATAGATAGCTATCTTTATAAAACTGTTATTTTATACATACGGAAATAATTTCTGAAATACATAGAGTAAATATAACTGTATGCATAACTATTTATACTCTCTCTCTATATTTATATAAATGTCTTTGTGTGTTACATCTGAGCTGCACAGCAAGATGTTGGCAATTAATATTGTTCTCTAAGAGAGATATAAACATGAAGAATTCATTTTCTGTTGGGTATAAATGTAAGAGTTTATATCTACTGTCTATATTGATGCAGTGCTCTATATTATTCTAATAATGTGCTCATGTTTATTATCAGTTTAGGAGAATTGCTTAAGTATATTAAAAATATAATCAGCCAGCTCTCTGCTGTTATCATCTCCTAAACTTACCAGTGCACTCACATACTTGCACGGGCAGTCTTTCACACCAAGTTTATAATTTGTTCTGTATAGGCAAATTTTTTTTAAAAAATGAATGACTATTCAGAGGACTGATGTAGGCCACCAGAGAATTTAATTCCCAGACCAAACCATTGTAAGAACTCAGGAAGAAAGAGAAGTGAAGTAGAGCTTTCAGATGGAATGTATCTTGACATGCATTCCAACAAAGAGGAAGTCAAGCAAA